GGCCGCACGGGCTTGCCAACTCTGCCGTGGCCCAGTCGATGCACTGGTGGGAGATGTGACGGTTGAGGAGACTAGGGCTTGCTCCGGCATCTTCTTGTCCCCCCCCGCCGGCACAAGGACCAACGTGGGAACAGGGGCAGGACTAAGCTCAGAACCTCAGCACCAGCCCGAGGTGCTTTGAGCATCCCCCCCTTCCCTACCCACCCCAGCCCCTCTGCCTGGGAGCATGGCAGGGCTTTCCCGTCCCTTACAGACTCACGGGTGCCCGCTCACTCTGCCCCTGCTCTGGCTTTGATGCAGCAGGGCTGGGCTTGGACCACTGCATCTGCCTGGCCAGGACCTGCCCATCCCTCCCTGCCACCCGACCTCTGTCCCCTCGGGGTGACTTCAGGGTGCCCACCCAGGGATGCAGGGCTGGGGGGTGAGCACTCCTCCGCTGCCTCCAAGGGCAGGAGGAGGGGGTTGCAGGGCACCCATGGGGCGAGGGGCAGCTCCCAGCAACTGCATGCTGCCTCCCACCCAGGCCCCTTCCCCCAGCACACCCTGGGGTCCTGGGGGGAGCCGTAAATCACTGCCAGACGAGGGTGCATTCTTGGGCTTTGTGAAGTCCCGTGCTGTCTGGGAGCATCGGTAATTGCTTCATTACAACACGGGGAGACATGTCCCGGCAGTAAAACCTCAGCGTGACTGCTGGGGAGCTCTGAGCAAGCCCCTCCACACACACACAAAGCACACACACACGTTTGCACGCCCAGACTCTGCTCCAGGAGTCCTGGAGAGGTGCGTGGCCAGGCAGCTGGAGGCTATGGTTTGCTTTTCGGGAGATGGGAAGCCAAGGAATCACCGGCCTTACCCTGCTGCAGGATCTTGCCGAAGTACTTGCTGTGGCTGGTGCAATTCCAGCGGCGGAAGCGGAATTGGTACTGGCACTCCCGGACTCCCAGCTTGGTGCCCTTCGCCACCTCCTGCACAATCTCCGGCTCCAGCTGGCACAGCTCTGCCTGCTTCCCCCCCAGCCGCTTCGTCTTGCGGCAGATGCTGTTGGGGTCCATGACCAGGGGACTCCCCACTGCCCTGCAGAAGGGACAGCGAGCAGAGCAAAACCAGCACCCGAGCCACGGGGGGACCCAGGGTGGCACAGCCAGACCTGCTCCCAGGGATGGAGAGGGACGGTGCCGGCTCATCGCTGAGCCTGGGTGACAAGGGGACAGGGAGAGGTATGCAGGGAGGGCAGGGCAGAAGGCAAGGTGTCCCCTGCATGCCAGCACCCAGGGGACACCTTGCTCTGCAGAGCCAGTCAGGGAATGGGGGAGATGCCCAGCTACAGCACTGGCTGGAGGATGCTCACACGTGCCACTCCCCACCCCAAAGCCCTTGGGGACATCCCTGAGGGTGATGGTGGTGGCCACTATGGGAAGTGACAGAGACACTGTGCTGTTCAGCACCCGCTCTTCAGGTCTGTCACTGACCCGGCACAGCCCTGCCACTGTGGTGTGACTGATGCCCTGTGCAGCTGCAGCTCCCAGAGCCCCGTAGGCACAGCGGGGAGCCCAGCCTGTGCTCTCAGGGGGGGCTCGCTGCTTTACCCTGTGGGAGACGAGCCGAGTGACCTTGCCGGAGATAAAGCCCCTTGGCTGCTGGCCAGGCTCCCATGCTCGCCTGCCCCAGCCCAGGCACTGGCCCCGGGGGAGCAGAGCGAGGGAGGGATGCAGGTGGCATCGCCAGCCCTGCCGATGCCAGCGAGGGAGGGCAAATCTCGGCTGGGCCCCTGCCAGAGGGGGG